GGGACAAGCGTGTTCTAGGCAGAGAGATCAGCAAGCATTGAGCGGAGGCTCAGAAGGGGGCCCGCGCTTGGCCAGTGTGAGGGGCAGAAAGGAGGCCAGTGCTGCGGGGGAAGAGTGAAATTTGCAAAAACCACTTGTTCAAATGAAACATTGCACAGAGCCTAACGAGATATAAACCAAAGCACAAGAGTTCAGATAAAGTCACTTTAAAACCTCTGATAGGATCGGGGGCTGGCTGCCATGCTGCTCTCTCCTGCAGCATTTAGCATTTGTTAGGAAGCTTTGGTGATGCTAAATCATTGCCTCCAACACCAGTCGAGTTCACAGGCACTAAGCGGTAACGGAGTACACAGGTCTCCAGGGAGTGGGTGTTGAGCCAGGCGGGGCTTTCTTTGGAGACACATCTTCCTGAACAAAAAGGCTGCACGTGTGCCCAAGGACTGATACCCTGGCGGCCAAATCACACTGTGGTTTTCCCTCCTGGCTGCTGCAGGCTTATCCCAGCTGCTTCTTGCCGAGCCGCACACAGGACATATTTCAGACCAGGAGACTTTGAAGTATGTGTTCTCTTAAGGCTTAACAATGTCAAGCTTCATAACCCAAGCACTGGCTTGCTAGCTTCCTACTTTAAATTGCTCATAATTTGAAACATGCAAACATTTCCACTTTATCAAGCAGGGCTACTAAACATATTATTGCTGGAACCTGCATGTTTTATGGTCTCCATACAGCCAGGGAGCTGAGTTTTATTAAAATAGACTGTTAAGAGGCTCAACTCATTATGGAATCTTCCAGGCCCCAGAATGAAAGGTTTTGTTTACTAAGGGCAGGGGAAAAAGGGCTGGGAAGAGGGTGGGGATGAGCATGTGTGTGTGTGTGTGTGTGTGTGTGTGTGTGTGTGTGTGTGTACGTGCGTGCTGTGAAGGGAGAGGTGGGGAAAAGGCAGAGACCACCAACAGTCTCGGCCCTGCCCTTCCGTGCCCCCCCCTCCGCCCCACTTCTGTGTCAGCCACCGGCCCGAGGCCCAGCATGTTCATGGGGCTCTGAATCCGTTACTTAAGGCAGAGTCGGGTCTGGGGGCAAAAACAACTGGAATTTAGCAAAGAAGGGTGATTCTTCCCTTGGGGAAAAAAAAAAGGCTCAGGGCCTCCACTGAGAGCAAGTACACCTAGAATGTTACAATGAGATCTGACAAACATACGGCACGCACAAAGGTTTTTAAGTGGATGCTGATGATGTGAGGACAGGTCTGGCTACATCTGTCCTTTCAGGGTACTCCTGGGCTGGGGACAGTATTTAATGATATGAAGGGGAAGATCATGTAATATAATCATTCCTGTGTATTCAGGTGGCCTTCTTTGCTCACGGAGCAGTGCAAGCAAGATATGGCCAGCCTGCCGTATCTTGCTCCTCTGGTTCCCATGCTGGCCTTGGAGACAGGAGAGGTCCTGAGGCCACCTGGGGAGGTGGAGAGGGATCTGGCTGTCCTCCCAGCCCCGCGGAGTCTGCAGATAGACTCCAGCCCCAGGCCCCACTGGCAGCAATTACATGAGACACCCCAAGTGAGACCAGCAGGTGAACTGCCCTGCTGAACCCTGTCAACCCACAAACACACAAAAGGCAATACATGGTTGTTGCCGTGTCGAGCCCCTAAGGTTTGTGTCGGGTGGTTATGTAGCAGTAACCAGCGGGAACCCCTTCCTCGAACTCTGGGGGGACTTGGGGAAAAGCAGCAGTTCTCCAAGGGCAGACAAAGATGTCTTCCAGCCATGCTGATCATAACAATGGTGATAATAGTAAGGACACCTGCTCTTTACGGAACGTTCCATGTGCTGCGCACCCCTGCTGCATGTTTTACATGTTTTTAAATGTCACCAGAGGTACATTCAATTATTGCCCCCACTTCGAAGATGAGGACGCTGAGGCTCAGCGTCCAATGCTGGGTCCCTGGCCTGCACAAACACCACAGTCCCCTCCCGCTGCCGCCACCCCCCCACTCTGCACCCTGCCTGCAGTAAGCGCTCAGTACACGAGCCACCGTGTGTCCCGCATTTACTAAGTTAACACCTGCTTGCCAGGAACTGTGCTGGATTCTAGGAACGTCCCCAGAGCTTGGCGTGGAGTCACTGTCCTCCCTCAAGCAGAGGCATCTGCCATCCTGGTCCCTGGACTTGCCAACTCTCCCCTGTAATAATCCCTGACACAGTGGCCGAGACTGCATAAGCAACCAGTGTTCACAAAAGGGGTTTATGACATCATCGTGCATCAACAAACAAGGGGTGGCAGGTGGATGGATGGACAATGGTTGGATGTGTAAACAAACAAATCACATTCTGAATCACACATATTTTAAGAAGCCCTCTCCGGAAGTATCTCTTGTGGCGGTTTTAATTTTATAGGAAGGTGTCATTCTTCCCAATCTGTGATTTCTTTTTTTTTTTCTTTAGGTGGCCTGGGTGCAAGGCAAAAGGGTTTGGCGAGTAAGATCTGGCGATGAAGGAGGTCGGAAAGGTGTTAACAAGCTATAAATGACCTTCCCAGCCTATTCAGGCATAAGTAATGTCCCCAAATTGCCTACAGTCAAAACTGCCAATGCCGAGCTGATTGCGATGAATCAGGCCTCCCCCTCTACGCCATAATGTGATCAATTTCTCATTTCGCTGAATAAATAAGCTGAAAGATGGGGAACTGTCTCTGACCCACCGTTAACCTTCTGCCTCATTATTCATATCAGACCTATGACATGCAGGTACGAAATCCCTGGTTCAATTTTAGCTAATTATTTGTTAGGACTGAAGGCTCCGTGAAGTGTTACTGATGGTACAAGCGCCCAGGGACCTCCGGGCGGAGAAAATCAGACTGAGAAAGCCTTTGTCTAGAAGAAGAGATAGCCGGGAGCATCCGCCTTCCCCCCCCCCCCCCCCCCCCCCCCACCGACATAAGCTTATGGTTGGCACGTTCATGTGCTTGTCCATGCGTATTTGCCTCCGAGTGAGCTGCCCTGGTAATTTATGACATCTTTGACTATTGTGAACTTACATCTTTTTATCATACTCCGCAAAGATGGCCTTCACAAATCAGTTCTTTTATTGGGAAGAAATCCCACCATAGGCTTTCCCCTCTCCCTCCCCCACACGGCACCCTGATGGGGACGGTGAGGGACCAGAGCTTTGGGAAATATTAAAATTTTTTGTTTCATTGGCCGGCCACCTCTGGAGAGATTTCTGGGACAGCTGCAGGAGTAGGTTTGTGTGTGTTAGGAAGGAGGAAGCCCGCGTGGGGGGATTTGGCAGATGCTGTCTGCAGAGATGGCGGGGGCTGTAGGCCTGGTCCCAGGGGCCATGTGGCTCCCCTGGGGGAGGACACCGGTGGTGGTTCCCCTGAGAGGGGCCCATTGGCTCAGCCTGGAATGGTGCTTGCCCCAGGGGGCCCCCCCAGATGGAAGGTCTGTGACTGGTTGCCCTGGCCCGACGTCCATCTGCAAATGAGCCTGGGTCACTTCCAAGGACTCTCCCAAGACTAGAGCACCAGGTGCTTTTGGTGCTTTTGTGTTTCCTTAAGAGAACAATAACCTTCACTGCACCCTGGCTATCTTGTTGCTTTATAAAGATCTGGTCCTTCGTATTTTCAGAGTTCCTGAGAATTTCCCCAAAGCATGCTTACCTCAGACTTATTGAATCAGCCTGTCCATCCTTTTCACGCAACATACAGTTTTTGGACGTGGCTCATGCTCTCGAAGGTGTGGTAAAGGAGGAGTAGCCTATCAGGTACAGTCTTGTTCTCGTGGAGCTTCTGGTCTAGCGGAGACAGACACTATTTAAGATGCCATCGTGATGAGGGATGAGACAGGGGAAATTCATGGGTGTGGAGCACAGAGGAGGTGGTGGATTTGGGGGGCCAGAGAGGCCTCCTGGAGGTAACGCTGGGGGAGGGAACCCTAGTGGTAACAGGGACAAGGTAGAAGCAGGGGTAGGATGGTGGGGAAGGGAAATGTCCCACTAGAAGAAGCAGCATGCCAGGTATCTTGGAGGTAAGAGGGAGCATGGCAGGCTGGACAATGGTTTGATTACAAAGAGGTGCAAGAAACAGCCAAAGAGGTAAGTAGATCAAGTCATGAAAGGCCTCATGCATCTGCTTCTGGATGTAAATGTTCCAGTTTGAAGGAAGAGGGGAAAGTGGGCTCCATGCGTAATTATTCTAGATCTTAAGGGCGGAGGATAACAGTCTTCAGTCAGGACTGAGTCAGACAAACCCGTGTGTAGGCTCACCCTCTTTGAAAGTCAAGTACAGGAACTGGGGTTTCTTGGATTTTTACCCCAGATCCCTTGAAAGTAAATGACAAGATCAACATTGCATCTTAAGAAGATCTCTGGGGGCACCTGGGTGGCTCAGTCGGTTAAGCATCTGCTTTCGGCTCAGGTCATGATCTCAGGGTCCTGGGATCGAACCCGGCATCGGGCTCCCTGCTCAGCAGAGAGCCTGCTTCTCCCTCTCCCTCTGCCCCTCCCCCTGCTTGTGCTCTCTCTCTCTCTCTCTCTCTCTCTCACTCCTTCTCTCAAATAAATAAAATATTAAAAAAAAAAGAAAAAAGGAAGATCTCTGGCTGCCTTGTGGTTGATGGTTTGGAAAAGGGAGCAACTAAATGGAAAGAGGCAGGAAGAACCCGTGTCTTCCGTGAGGTGAGCCGCACAGACCAAGTGGAATTAATTCCATCCTGCAAAGACAGACTCAGAGACAAAGCAATCATTAGGTGACCGGCCTCATCCAATCAATGAAAGAGAGTCCCATCATGGGCCCTGTGTTGCTGTTTTCCACCACTGGAAACCCATTTTCTGTGGGAGAGGTGGGTGCAGTCCCCAACCTAATGTCCACTATGGAAAGCCCAGTGAAATAATCAGAGAAGATTTTGGTTTTTTTTTTTTTTTTTTTCTGCCTGACCTCAGATATCCTTTGGTTGTCAGTTTATGATCTGCTAGAGCCGCTAGAATGTGAGCTTCCGGAGAGCAGGGCCTCTGTCTCCTTTGCCCCTGTCTTTCCAGTGCTTTGCATACAGTCGGTGTTTAATAAGAGTATGGAATGAAGAAATCAATGTGTAGTCACGGCTCCTGTGGAGGATTCTCATCTCTGAGGCCAAGAAAGGACCAGGCTCAGGGCACGGCCCAGGAGAGATTTCTTTGGGTGATGAATGACGGAGTGACTTGAGTGAGCAGCCCATTGAACCTCCGCTGGGGTCCCAGCCAGAAAGAACTGTGGCCCCATGGGGAGAAATAACATTATCGTTATCATTTCAAGATGGCTTATTATTGTGTGCCGGACACCGTCTAACATTTTCACATTTCTTATCTCATTGAATCCTCACAAACCTGCATTAATCGGTACTACTATTGTCCCCATTTCACACATGAGAACACTGAGGCCCGGGGAGGTTACTACCCAGCGCCAGAGGATACAGCAAGGGCGCCAGCAGTCAGGGTTACCACCCAGCCCACTTGTCTCCCTGGGGAGCCAGGAGCGACGCAGGAATTCAAACCCTGGCTGATGGTAGGTCACGTCTGGTAAGTGTGCACAGTCGGGGAGGGCCTTGGTGGATATCTCTCTGCAAAGGAGTAGGAGAAGGTGAAATTCTCACCCTGGGATTCGTGGGTCTGCTGGGGGAAACATAGCCCATGTCCTCTAATACTTTGGAAGATTCCAGCTGAGGAAGAGAAAGCATCTCCACCTCTGTGTGGCTAACTGCAGAATAAAACCCTGCTCTCTCACGATGGAATACAAAACTACAGATGAGTTTAGACTTCCTGCCTTTGTTTGTTCATTCATTCGTTCAGCTATTTTCTTGAGTTCTTGCTGTGTGCCAGGCTCTGTTTTAGGGGCTGGGTTCCAGTATGGCACTGGGCAGATAGGACCCCTGCCCTCCCCGGACTGTACCGTCTCATGGGAGAGGTATTAACAACACAGGGGGGACAAACGTGGTGCCAGGGACAATCAGGAGCTGACAGATCAAAGAGCAAGGGTGCTGGGGCCCCTCTAGGGAGTCCCACCCCTCCCCAGGAGCACAGGAAGAACAGAAGAGGCCAGGTAAAGGTATTGGAGGAAGGGAGGAGAAAGCTACAACCTTTGCTTTCGGGGACCCCATTCATATGCCCAAGCGGGGAGGGGTGCAGGTGGAGGAAGTGGGTCTCTAATTCGAGGAGGGAAGCAGAGCCTATGCTCAGACTTAAGAAGGAAATCTTGTCCACAGGCACCCAGCCAAGGCTGGGAGTGGTGCCGAAATCCTGCTCACCCACCCGCTGCCAACTGCATCCTCAGGAGCCACACCCACCAGGGCGGACACACCCTGTGGGCCAGCAGTGACCCTCCTTCAGGTCGTGGCTTGAGCTCCGGAGGGCCAAAACAAATATTCTCCTCTCTGAGCTTGATGTGACTCCATGGTGGGGACAACTTGTGGTCAAGTGGCTGATCTCGGGAGCTCGAGGCTCAAGGGCCATGCAGCCTTCCATCCTCAAGCCAGTGTGGGGTGGGAAACAGCCTCCCAACCTGGTTGTGGGGAGGACGAGCCAAAGGCCATTTCTCCCTGCCATCTTCAAGGTCCCTTTTTGGAAAGTTACCTTCATATGTGTTTCAAATTCAACGTAAACCCAACTTTAAAATTTTTCTTGCTTTTTCCGTTTCTTAGGATTCTTCCAAAAATCTGTGACAAATATTCGCTAATGGGCTTGCACTGTCGTGGGTCAGGGTCCTGCACCTGAGTGGTCTGGGCCAAACCTGGATCCTCCCAGGGCTGAGCCCCTGGCTTGGATGGGAAACGAGCCATGATGAAGTTCATGTAAAGAAAAATGAAGGCCTCCCCTCACCCCACCCCCAGTTCAACGCCCAACCGTCCGCTCTGACCCTGCGCCAGGGATCGGTGACCAGTATCTCAAGGGCTGTTTTCCATGACAACTTGCATGCCTGAGCTCATTCATCAATTTCTATGCAACAAAATCAGTTTGTGGAAAACTCGCATGAGTTCCTGAATCCGGGGGCGAAGGGGAGGACACGGTGAGATACAAGACAGACTTTTCCTGTGATGGTAGGAACATTTCCAGTGCCCCCCCAGGCCTCCCTTCTGATCCCCAGCCATAGTCTCACTTTTTCCATGGCCTTATCAATTGCTGATAGGCGGGGATGAATCCAGCATTCGAGGGAAAAGGAGGCCCTGGGAAAGGCAAAGCCTGCCAGGTCCTACCACCACGCATATGTGCGGCCCCACATGGGCTCAGACCCAGCCTCAGAGTGTGACGTCATCCAGCTCGGTCACATCTCCTCTTTCCCCTGTGCGTGTTGGCTCTGGGATAGGGAGGAAGCCGAGCTGGACAGGAAGTCATCAGTGATAGAAGGCAAGGGATACTCTGACTAATCCCAGCTTTGGCCTCCGATACGGAAGAGGAAGATGAGACTTCCTGAGTGGATCTATCCGTAGCCTTTGGGTGTAGCTGTTAGTTATTAGTTCCGTTCAGCAAGTACTTCTGGTCCTCTCCCAGCCTGGGCTCCAGGTAGGATTTGACTTCCTGACCCACTCTACGGGTGAGTAGGTCCATGTGACCAACGCTAGCCAATGAGCTCATAGTGGAAGTGACCCGCGTCACTGCTTGGCTAAGCCCGTAAGTGCTAGTGGGTTATCTCTTTTCTTTCTGGTTTGGCGATTGGCAGGGCTTGAGACGGTGGAAGCCCTGACTGTTTGAGGGCCTGAGTGACTGACTGCAGGGTGAATAGAGCCCTTCTGCCATGATGGATGTGTAGCATGTGCAAGAAACCAGCGCGTGCTGATTTATGTTTCTGAAAGTTGGTGCTCCTTGTTACTGCCACATAACTTAGCCTAGACTGATGGACACAATGGTGCGGAATGATAGGCAAGATGGAGGAGAGGAAGCTCTGGCTTAAGTCACAAGACTCCCAGTTTGGTGTTTATCTCTTCTTAGCTCTTCTCAATAATATTACTAATAACTTATGGGGCGCCTGGGCGGCTCAGTCGGTTAAGCGCCGGACTCTTGGTTTCAACTCAGATCATGATCTCAGGGGTGTGAGACTGAGCCCTGCGTCAGGCTCCAGGCTCAGTGTGAAGTCTGCCTGTGATTCTCTGTCTCTCTCTCCTTCTGCCTCTCCCACTCATGTGCGCTCTACATGCTCTCTCTCTCTCTCTCTAAAATAAATAAATCAGTCTTTAAAAAAATATTACTAACAACTTATGACCTTGAACCACTGATTAGATTTCTTTGGGTATTATTATTCTTATCTATAAGATGAGGATATTATACTTGCTTCTCGACATTCCCATGAGGACTCAATGCGATAATGTGCGTAGAGCGTCTAGCCTGTTGTCTGTGTTTTACTTTGGACATACGGTACTATATCTGCTTACTCTTTTATCGCTTCTAACGTGTCCATTTTACACATTTAACATTTCTACATTTACAATCAATGCCATCTTCCAATTAGTTGGCAGTTGTTTTTCTTTCTTGGTGACATATAAATAATGTTTTCAAATGGTGTCTGAGTTACTTAAATATGATAGTTGGCACTCAGTAAACAGTAGAAATGACTCTTTAAAATTTTTTTTAATTTTTAAAGATTTTATTAATTTGAGGGAGAGAGAGAGCAAGCAAGTGGGGAGGGGGGCAGAGGGAGAGGGAGAGAGAATCCCAAGCAGACTCTGCCCTGAGCATAGAGCCCAAATCAGGGCTCAATCCCATGACCCTGAGATCACGACCCCAGCCAAAACCAAGAGTTGGACGCTCAACTGACTGAGCCACCCAGGGGCCCCACAGTAGAAATTATTCGTATCTTACATGTTATCTCATTGAACTTTTCAGGATTTGTCCCATCTAGAAAGTGGGAATCATAATCATAATCTCAAAGGAGCCGATGAAGTGGAAATGCTTTCAGAGTATCAACGGCTGGGCAGTAGAGTGAGTAGTAACCCTCCAATGACACTGCCCGCCGGAGGGCTTCCTGATCACACTGTCCCCAAGCCCGTGCAGTTGGAACGTTTAGTTCTAGTGGGGCTCTTGAGGATGACGGGACTTATGGGGCGACAGGAGATGGCACAGCCAGGTGGACACAGCAGTGCCCAGCCGAGCCCAGTTGGAAAAGGAGAGCTAGGGTGCAGAATTATTCAGCCAGACCCAGGTTGAAGCCATTTTCATCTCTCAGAAGCCATGGGCCCCTTAATCTATTTGTCCTTCCAGCACTTCAGATTTATCTTTTGTAACATGGGGACATTACTAGATTTCTTATTGGATTGCTGTAAGGACTCAATGAAAACATATATATATATATATATATAAAATAAAATAAAAATAAAAATATATATGTGTAAAGAACATAGAGCAGCACTGTCCAATTTTGTAGCCACTGGACACACTTGAAATGTGGCCGGTCCAACTTGAAGTGTGTTGTATGTATATAATACACACTAAATTTCAAAGATTGAGTATGAACAAAAGGATGTAAAATATCTCATCAATACTTTAAGATTGATATTGAAATGATAATATTGTTAAAATGATAATCTTTTAGATATACTGAGTTAAATAAGATATGTTATTAAAAGTCATTTCACCTGTTTCTTTTTACTATTTCTCTTTTTTTAATCAGTTCCTTTTTTTTCTTTAAAGCTTATTTATTTATTTATTTATTTAAGTATTCTCTTCCCCAACTGGAGGCTTGACCTTACGACCCTGAGATCAAGAGTTGCATGCTCTTCCAACTGAGCCAGCTGGGTAACCCTTTACTCTTTCTTTTGTGGCTACTGGAAAATTTTTTAAAATTACATTTACGGTTCATACTTGTGAGTGCACTATATTGGTCTAGAGCGATGCACGGCCCACAGTCCATACTCAGTAAAAGTTGAATAGAGACAGTCAGGGTGCCAGGGGCTTATAGGAGAGAATTCTGGGGTTGTCCCAGGGCACAGCACTATGGTGGAAAAGAAAACGTCTTCCTGCAGGCAAAGTTGTCTTCATGGTTTCAGTAGGAAAGAGGGAATGCTTCTTGTTCCGATCGTGGTAGAGAGAAGGGACAACACACTTTCTGTCTTATCTCCTGTTCCCACACTCCCTCCCCTGATTATGCTCCTCAGGCCGCAGAGGTGATCTTTTCTGTGACCTTGGTTGTCCCCCTCACTAAAATGCCAGCTCCCCGAGAGCAAGCCCCGTATTTGTTGTGGTCACTCCTTTATCCCTGGCATCCCTGGCCCGAGGCCTGACTCAAATGAAGTACTCAATAAACGTTTGTGCAAAGAATAAATTATTTCCCCCAGAGGGCTTAAAACATCTGGACTGTATTGCTTTTTGTTTACCCCCCAATTTTATTTTTTAATTTTTATTTATTTTTTTAAAGATTTTATTTTATTTTATTTTTTAATAATTTTTTATTGTTATGTTCACCACCATACATTACATCATTAGTTCTTGATGTAGTGTTCCATGATTCATTGTTTGCGTATAACACCCAGGGCTCCACGCAGAACGTGCCCTCTTTAATACCCATCACCAGGCTAACCCATCCCCCCACCCTCCTCCCCTCTAGAACCCTCAGTTTGTTTTTCAGAGTCCATTTAAAGATTTTATTTATTTATTTATTTGAGAAAGAGAGCACAAGCAGAGGGAAGTGGCAAAGGGAGAGGGAGAAGCACTAGCCTGCTGTAGGACTCGATCCCAGGACTCTGGGATCACGACCTGAGCTGAAGGCAGACGCTCAACCAACTGACCCACTCAGGCGCCCCTACCCCTCACATTTTAATATGTGAGTGGTGTTTTAGAGGAGCAAGAGGTTAGGGTTCCAGCTATGTATGCTCAGGCAGGAATATAACCTCTTAAGCCTCAGTGTCTCCATCTGTCAAATGGGACTATTCCTACCTCTCTTCGTATTTACTTTATATTCGTATTTATGTTATTGAAGTATAATTAACATACAATGTTATATCAGCTTCAGATGTACAACATAGTGATTTGACAAATCTACACATTACACAATGCTCACTTTGATCAGTGTGGTCACCATCTGTCACCAAACAACGTCAGCACAATCTTATTGACAATATTCCCTATGCTGTGCTTTTCATCTCTGTGACTTATGAATTAGAGAACTGGAAGTTTGTGCCCCTTCATCCCCTTTATTTGTTTCACTCATTCCCCACATGCCTCCCTTCTGACAGTCACCAGTTTTTATTTTGTATTTAATAGTCTGTTTGTTCATTTGTTTTGTTTTTTTAGAATCCACATGGTATGTGTCTATTCCTGACTATTTCACTTAGCATAACCCCTTCTAGGTCCATCCATGTTGTCACAAATGGCAAGATCTCATTCTCTTTCATGAGTGATACGTCACTGCATATATACACACCACCTCTTCTTTCTCCATCCATCTGTGGATGGACACTGAGGTTGCTACCATATCTTGGCTATTGTAAATAACGCTGCAATAAACATAGGGGTGCATAGATCTTTTCGAATTAGTGTTTTCATTTTCCTTGGGTAAATATCCAGCAGTGGAATTACTGGATCATATGGTAAGAAAGAAACCTCTTCACAGCAACACTATAAAAGCAATTTTGCACCTGTCAGGCACCAGACATTTTCCTGAGTTCTCAGCGGCTTTGGGCTGAGAAGAAGCACTGAACTCTTCTCTTTGAGAAGAGTACTGTCCTGATGCAGATCTGAGCAGCAAGCTGCCTTCTGCAAAGTTGTGCGCGCTCTGTGTATGACACTCCGAATGCGCACTCGCGTGCCACACGCATACCTGATACCCAGCTTTGGGGCTGGGGGGTGCACATTTCTATTTGTCCTCTGATGACCATTAGTGTGGGGGTTCCCAAAGCATTCTGCAGATGACAGGTCCCTGGATGTAGGAATGTGATCACAGGCATCGTGATAGTGATGGCGTGGCGACAGTCATTTTTTTTCCTGTAAAATGACTGAGAGGAAAAATAAATCAGTAGGTGAAAGTTATAGAAAGATGGATTCCTCACGGTGGAAGACGACCCAATCAGGAGCAGAAGACCTGAATCCAAGTGAGTTCTAGTCTTTTGAACTTCAGTTTCCCCAGCGGTAAAATGGGGGTGGGCTGGCCCCTGCTCTACCCGTCCTCAAGAGTCGCTGAAAGTTGACACATGACGATGGATGTAAAATCACTTTATGAACTGTGATACCCTTTACAGATGCAAATGATTATTGATTATCGTTAGAGCATCTGTCAGCAAAAGAGCCTACCTCGTGAAGCTGTGTCAATTGGCCAAAGATGATTTGGAGCAAGACCGGGTCTTGAAAGCCAGGTAACGTGGAGACAGGCGAGGCTTACATCAGAAAGATTTCCAGACGACATGAACACATGTGAGCTGGGACTACAGCTGGCTCAGGAGCAGGGCTGCGTGTGGAGAGTCAGTCCTGGGAAGATGGCAGCCCAGGGGCCACCCCTGCCAGCCCCCCGGATGCCCGGAGGCCCTCTGGCTCCCACGATTCCATGTTCTAGACTCAAAACCGTGCCCTGCAGATGTTGGCTTGCTTAGGGGGCCCAGGTGAGGTGCAGTTCGAGGGAACAATGTGCTGAGTACCGGAGCGGAAGTCTAATAAATGGCTGGCACGGGTCTCTGGACATCAAACAGTTCTTAGAAATAATATTTTGAGGAGTTAAGTGTCAATGAATGGGGAACACATGGATTAGATTTCCATGAAATGCGTATGGAGGTAAGAATGGAAGAAAGGCTTTGGGCGCTGCACGCTGGGATTCATTTTACCTAGAACAAAAAATAGTAAAATAAAATAAAATAACACAAACCGCTCTGAGGCAGTGGACATATCCCAGAAGGATTCTCTTCCTCTTGCACCCAAGAGCACCTTCCAGTTCCAGTAAGGTGGGTCACGAGGGAGAGAAAAGGGAGGGACCCAGCTGGACAGGCCACAGAGCTGTCGCCTCAGAATAAAGGGAATGCACATGGCAGCCCCTCCAAGCCCCGGCCATGGAACGGCAGGTACCAGGGCTGCCGAAGAAAAACCAGCGGCCCGTTTCTGGGCCCTTCTCGGAGAGCGTGCTCTAGTGCTGATTGTGTGAAGCATCGGAAGAAACGCAAGCTAAATAATGTTTAATTGACAGAGCAGATTGTTTGCTTTCAAATAATTGCACTAAATTGCAGTGCTTAAAAAGTACTTAGACTTTGCAACTTGGCTCTGCTGGCCTGCTCCAGGGGGGCTGGGGGGCCGGGCCGGGGGGAGGGCGGAAGACCCTTGGAACGGGCACAGGGAGGACTCGGCTGTAGGGCAGGTCTGTGGGGTCGTCTGGCCATGAGCCCACGAGTCCACTGGCTTTGCTGAGGCTCCTTCGTCAGGCTGCGGCTCACCCGGGCACCAGCTCTCTCTGAGCTCTGGAGGCCACTCCCGCTCCGGGACAGAGGGCTTTGTCCTCAGCGACCAGACCGTCCCACAGGTCTCCAGGGTACCCACGCCTCTCTCCCACATGCAGTGTTAACAGTTCCGAAAATCTGCTACTTTGAGTGGAAGTAAAATTCTCATCCTGACAGGGGAGCCAGGGAGCCTGGGCATTGACCCGGGACCCCCAGGCGACATGAGCACGCCTACAACCAGAGCTGATTTTCAGCAGGTCATTAAAGCATGGAAATATGGGGCACCTGGGTGGCTCAGTCGGTTGAACGTCTGACTCTTGGTTTCAGCTCAGGTCACGATCTCAGGGTGGTGAGATCAAGCCCCACGCGCGGCTTCGCGTTGGACATGGAGCCTGCTTGAGATTCTCGCTCTTTCTCCTTCTGTCTCTCCCTCCTCCTTCTTTAAAAAACAAACACACAAACATTTGAAATACTTCTGCACTGGTTGGGACACAGCTGTTACTTGAGCTCCTGGGTGCCCTTGGTCTTCCTGGTTGCCCCAATGTCTTCTCTGGAGCCCCAAGACAACTCCACAATCCAGAGGCTAAAGAGTCAACCCGAGGCACCAAAGTGGTCCTTCGGGACCCTATCCCAACACGTGGGCGGCATCTACTCTGTCTGGTTGATGTCTACACTGAGGCACGTATTCTCTCTACTAGTAACACTCTGATGAATGCCCATGACCTTGTAGGGGACCGACTCACATGCAAACCAGCCCAGAGGACACTTGCAAGTCGATGGAAGTAAATTTACCCAAATTATAGGACGGTCTTTGTCAGACCCCGGCCCATACAATCCACCCCCCGACCCCTGCCACTTCCATCCCAGGCTGGGCTGTTGAAAACATTTGACACCCGGAGCAGAATATCTAAGCTTTATAATATGCTTCTCAAGGGCCTGTGAAAATATCTGAGAACTAGAAAAATATTTTTGGCTCTCAAATACAAAAAGAAAACCACAAAATTAAAATTAGTATATGTTTAAATGTCTACAAACCATAACATTACGTCAATGACGCAACCGTAAGCCAACTCAATTTGTATATAGTTATATAAAAACTATGTTTAATGTGGACTGTGGGTGAGTTTTTAATTTATTTGCTAGGGTGGGGATGGGGCCCTCTTAAGAAAGAGGCCCAGGAGTCACGAGGATCATAAGCATCCTGATGCACAGTGCCTGGAAGGCTGGTCCAGTCCTTGTCCCCTGGGCTTCTGCTCTGCTGCCCCCTGGCCACCCCCCTTTCTTCTCAAATTGTCTTCTTCCTTGGCCCATTTGACAAGACAGGATGCCCTTCTCCTCCTGCCTCTCTGACCGTTTGTGCCTACTTCTCTCCCTGCAATATTTGCGATATTTGATATTTAGCCAAGTGTTTGCTTGGCCTGGGCCTCGAGCCCTCTGCTCTTCTGTCTCGCACTCTCTCATCCGCCCTGACAGTGTCAGCTGTCACCTCCATGTGGCCGGCTTCCAAACCCGTGTCCCCAGCCCCAGCCTCCAGCAGAGCTCTGGACCCATATATCCAAGCGCGGATTGAATGCTTCCTCTCAGGTGTCCTGCCCTTGCCTCCTGCTCAGCGCGTCCCAAGGCCACCTTGCCTGAGCCCAAAATGCTGCACTCCCTACGGCCCACCACGCCCTGCCTCTCCTGCTGTAAACAATACCAAACACATTTTCCCAGCAGCCCCCCAAACTGTAAGCCACCCCTGACATCTCCCTCTTCTTCCTCTTCCTGTCCGTCAGCACCCCCTGGGAATTGTGCATTCTTCTTTTCTCGTGCTCAGATGGGTCCTTCCCGGTCATGGTCATCCCAGTCCTGCCACCTTGGTGCAGGCCAGGGCAGGCAAGCCGGCTTCCTCCCGAGTCCCAGCTCTGGTCCACAGGTGGTTGCCACCTGCAGAAGAGAGTGGAGAAAGATTCGAAGGCTATCTTTGGCCTCATTGGGGAAGACGGCCGTGATCGATTACTGATGTCTGCCGTGGACACAGGAGGAGAGGGAGATGGCACGAATTCTGCCATCCTCAGCCTAGGCTTTTTCAGGTTGACACCTGAGCTGAGGCAGCTGTTACCTGCCTGGCCTCCCAGGCTTCAGCGGCTCCCTCCCATCACATTGTCGTGTGTGCTGCTCCAAGATCAAGCAGGGACAACGCTTGCATCCAATAAGCCCCCTGCCCAAAAGCCATCTTTGACTATTTGCCTGACATGACATGAAGTCCAGTCTTCTGGGCTGGTGTTTACAGCCCATTGGGTCTGACTCCAGCTTCCTTCTCCCCTTTAATGTCCTGCTAAACCCCAGTGCCTACACCTTGCTCCAAATAACTAGGCCTGGTCATTGGTCCCTGACT